GTCAGACAACAAAAAGAAATAAAAGGCACCCAAATAGGAAAGGAAGAAGTATAACTACCATTGTTTGCAGATGACATGATAGTGTACATAGAAAACCCTGTAGACTCCACCAAAAAATTACTCAATCTAATAAGTGAATTAGGCAAAACAGCAGGATACAAAGTCAATATTCAGAAATCAAAGGCATTTTTGTACACCAGCAATGAAAAAGAAGAATAAATCAGAAAAAAAATACCATTTGATATAGCAACAAGAAAAATAGAGTACGTAGGAATAAATTTAACCAAACAGGTAAAAGACCTGTACGCAGAAAACTATACAACATTGAAGAAAGAAATTAAGGAAGACACAAATAAATGGAAGCATACACCATGCTCATGGATTGGAAGAATTAGCATCATCAAAATGTCCATACTACCCAAAGCAATTTATAGATTCAACGCAATCCCTATTAAGATACCAATGACGTATTTCACAGAAATAGAACAGACATGTCAAGAATTTATATGGAACCATAAATGACCCCAAATAGCCGCAGCAATTTTGAGAAAGAAAAACAAAGTAGGAAGGATCACCATACCGGACATCATACTATATTACAAAGCCACTATACTCAAAGCAATCCTGGCACAAGAACAGACGCATAGACCAGTGGAACAGAACAGAAAGCCCCGAAATAAGCCCAGGTCTATATGGGCACCTAATATTTGACAAAGGGGCAGAAGCATAAAATGGAGCAATAATAGCCTCTTCCACAAATGGTGTTGGGAGAGCTGGACGGCTACATGCAAAAAATTGGAATTGGATCATCAGCCGACACCATACACAAAAATAAACTCAAGATGGATAAAAGACTTAAGTATAAGTTGCAACACCATCAAAGTCCTAGAGGAGAACATTGGCAGGAAACTCTCAGATACCCCATGCAGCAATGTTTTCACTGAGATGTCTCCTAAAGCAAGGGACATAAAGGAAAGAATAAACAAGTGGGACCTCATCAATATAAGAAGCTTCTGCATGGCTAAAGAAAACATCAGCATTATGAAAAGGGAGCCAACCGTATGCGAAAATATATTTGCTAATGATACATCAGATAGGGGTCTGATGTCCAAGATATATAAAGAACTCTCTGGACTCCACTCTAACAAGACAAACAATCCAATGATAAAATGGACAAAGGATCTAGGGCGACGCTTTTCCAAGGAGGAGATACAGAGGGCCCAGAGACATTTGAATGGATGCTCAGCATCACTAGCCATCAGGGAAATGCAGATCAAAACCACCATGAGGTACCACCTCACACCGGTCAGAATGGCCATCATAAACAGATCAATAAACAACAGGTGCTGGCGAGGCTGTGGAGAAAAGGGAACCCTAGTACACTGTTGGTGGGAATGCAGAGTGGTTCAGCCATTGTGGAAAGCAGTGTGGATTTTCCTCAAAAAGCTGAAAATGGAACTGCCTTTTGATCCAGTGATTCCCCTGTTGGAACTATCCCCTAAGAATCCCAAAATGCCAATTCCAAAGTTTTCTGCACCCCAATGTTCATAGCAGCACACTTTACACTAGCCACGTGTTTGAAGCAACCGAAATGCCCATCAGTAGATGATTGGATCAGAAAACTATGGTACATTTACACAATGGAATACTACACAGCAGTAAGAGAAAAAGAACTACTAAACTTCACGACAGCATGGATGGTACTGGAGAGCATTATGCTAAGTGAAATAAGCCAGGGGGCGAAAGACAAATACCATATGATCTCACCTATAAGTGGAACCTAACCAACAATACAAAGATGCAAGGAAAATATGACCAGCAACACTGAAAGGAAAAGAAACCAACAGAGAGAAGAGGGAAGGAAGGAGAGGGTGCGGGGGGAAAAGGAAGGGAAGGGGAAAGTCAAGGAACATATAGCAAGGACTCATGGACAAAACCAAAGGGGAAGAGTTGCGGGCAGGAGGGAGAGAGGAAGGGGGCAAGGGAAAGTGGTGGGGGGTAGGCAGAGAGAAATGTATTTGAAAAAATAAATAAATTAAAAAAAATTTTTGTGGAAGCCCAAAAGGCCCCACATAGCAATAGTGATCCTGAGAAAGAAGAAAGAAGAATCACATTACCTAATATCAAACTATATTACAAGGCCATGGTAAGCAAAACAGCATGGTGCTGGCATAAAAACAGACACATAGAATATTGGAACAGAATAGAGAGCCCAGAAATAAACCCATGTCTATGGTCAATTAATATTCAACAGAGGAATCAAGTACATACAATGGGCTAAAGATAATTTATTCAATAAGTGGAGCTGGGAAAATTGAACAGAATGTACAGAAAAATGAAACCAGACTACCTTCTTATACCACTCACAAGAATAAATTAAAAATAGATCAAAGACTTAAATATTAGACCAGAAAACAAAAATCCTAGAAGAAAACACAATGCAGCAAAATCTCAGACATTGCTCATAGAAATTTTTTGCTGGATATACCACCCCAGGTGAGGGAAAGAAAAGAAAACATAAGCAAATGGGACTACATCAAACTAAAAAGGTTTTGCACAGCAAAAGAAAACATCAACATAATTAAAAAGACAACTCACAGAATGGGAGAACACATTCACCAATACATCTGATAAGGAGTTAATATCCAAAATTTATAAAGAACTTATAAAAATCCACACCAAGAAAATAAACAGCCCAATTAAAACATAGGCAAAGGATGTGAATAGACACTTTTCCAAAGTGGACATTTAGATGGCCAACAGACATATGAAGAGTTGCTCAATGTCCCTAATCATCAGAGAAATGCAAATTAAAACCACAATGAGGTACTGTCTTACACCTGTGAGAATGGCTATCATGAATAAATCAACAAACAGCTGTGGGTGAGGATGTGGAGAAAGGGGAACCCTTTTGCACTGTTGGTAGGAATGCAGATTGGTGTGGCCGCTGTGGAAGGCAGTATGGAGATATTTCAAAAAATTAAAAATGGATCTGCCCTTTGACCTAGTGATCCCCGTTCTGGGACTATAACCAAAGGAACCCATGACACTAATTAAAAAGAACATAAGCACCCCCGTGTTCACTGTAGTGTTATTTACAATCATCAAGACATGGAAACAGCCCAAATGTCCATCAGTAGATGAGTGGATAAAATAACTATGGGATATATACAAATTGAGTACTACCTGGCAGTATAAAAGGAGAAAATTTTACCCTTTGTGACAGTATGGATAGACCTGGAGAACATTATGCTAAGTGAAATAAGCCAGTCAGAGAAAGACAAATACCATATGATTTCATTCGTATGTGGAATCTAGTGAACAAACTGAATTAACAATGGAAACAGAGACAGACTCATAGATGGAGAGCAGATGACAGTGGTTGGTGGGGGTGACCATTAGAGGGTGGAGAGATTGAGAAAAAAGGAAAAAGGACTCATGGACATGGAGGACAACACTGCGGTGATTGCTGGGAGGAGGTGGTTATAAGAGGACTAAATAGTAATGAAAAAAATACAATAAAGATTAAATAAAAAAACGAAACATCACAGGGATGTAAAACGCAGCACAGGGAACACAGTGAATAATATTGTAATAACTACATATAATGCTAATCAGGTACTAGGCTTATCAGGGGGAACACTTTGTAAGTTATATAAATATCACTATGTAGTACACCTAAAAAGAATATAATACTGTATTTCAACTGTAATTGAAAATTAAAAAAAATGAAATAGAGCTGAATAAAAAATGAGTATATTACATGTAGCTAGGGTGAGTACAGTTTTGTGTAATGTATGTTTATTTCTTAATGTCGATCATAAGATAAACTTTGACAGATATCAGGTTAAGGAATGAAAAGTTTCTTGTGTATACTTGAAATGAAAAATGACCACAGGAAAATAAAAGTGCTGATTAAAGTATCAAAATACTTTGAAATAAAGTTTAAAAAAGCATATTAGTATGAGAAAAAAATAAAGTTCACTACTATCTTATTTACTTGAATTCCATTTATGTAGAGTTCATAAATTATGGTAATTTAGTGAAAGTGAATTTCAGTTCATTTTTCTATTAAAGAAAGTCTGTCTAAATGATTCAAATGTATGTGAAAATGGACTCATTTATATATAAACACATAAATCTGTAGGTATCCATATGCTCAAATACCCCAAATTTGAAACTACTTTACTTCTACTGCATAGAAAAAGTGCAAGTGTTAGATCAGAAATTTAGAAATCAGATGCTAAATTTCAATTTTCCTATCAGTACAATGGAAATAACTCATATCTATGAAAGTTAGAGACAAGTTATGAAACATGAATGCACGTATGCGAAAGAACCTTAAACACCATAAGCACTATGTAATCCTTAGGTATGATCACCAAATAAATGATAAACTCTGTGCAGGTAAAACAAAATTCCCTCCTCCTAAAACTGAAATTTTCAAGTGCTGAACTGCTAATGCTTTAGTTGCTTTACTTAGTAAAAACATTATTAAAAATGGAGGTATTATTATGTGTATTTTTACATGCACATTTGTTTTCAAAGTATACAGCTCTTTCTGAAGATACTGCATGAAACTCAAGAACTGTATCTCAGTATTCTGGAGGTAATCATTATCCTGATCGGGTACATTTGCTGGACCATAAACAAATTTACTAAAGAAATATGTAATGTAGTGGGAAACAAGTTGTTTTGACTTAATATCCTGTATAGAAACAGGGTTTCCAATGACAAATAAGAGATACCATTAAAGTACCAGTGTTCAAATCTCTACCTGAAAATATTTTTTTTTTGGTTGCTCAGGTCAATAAATATACTAAAAAATAAAAAGAAAATTCTTATTACAAATAAAGATGTAGTACATCTGACTGGTCTTCCTATAGGATTGAACTCATTAAAAGATATAGTAATCAAACTTTCATATATTTATATTCAAAAGACCACTTAATGTTATAGCATTTAGTCTTAAAACAGTCATAAAAAAATATCAGACTCACCCTGACAGTGCCGCCAACGACTTCAATTACCTTGCCTCTATACCACATAGTATCTGATCCTCTCACTGCACAGGCTTCTCCCTTTTTCCAGAAATAAGGCTCCAAAAGACCAAGGCATTTTAAATTACTTTGAATTTCATTCATCATTTTTATTAGTTCAAATTCTGAAGAAGTTATTAAAAACAGAAAGTATTTAGGAAAAATTCCCTACCATTTTCAAATGAAGTTATCACTAACCTTTAATAATTTTATCACTTAGATAATACTATTAATAATTAAAAATCAGTCCCCACAATTGTAAAGCTTTAATAAAAGTCTAATTATTATAGCTTCTATATGTTTCAATATGTAGAACTGAGTAACAGCATGTAAATAATTATTTTGATGTCTAGTTATAAATACAAGCATTCTTTTGGTAGTGTGAGAATCATGAAAAACTCTATGTACCAGAGAGCCTAATATGCCATTTTTTTAGCACACCTAAGTGAAACAGAAGGCAAGTTACAGGTTACTTGATGCTTAGATATAACATAATGCTGGGATATAAAGTTAAAACTCTCATGTTGCTACTTAACTGTTAACTGGCCCACTATTTTTACAGTAAATACATATCCCCATAACTGACAGCATAGAACACAAGCTCTGAACTTAGTTGAGCTTTTATGGGGTTAGTTCCCATAAAAGTTCTACCACTGTAGTCGAGTAATCTTGGGTAGTTCCTTTACCCCCATAAATCTCGGTTTGTTCTTTTGTGAACTGGGTAGAATGGCACCTACCTGCATTATCAGTTTTGTGAGGTATTAGATGAAAAATGTCTAGCACACTGCCTGACACATAGTCAAGCAGTTTTAGCTGATTATTTATACATGTCTGGATTAAGTACTAATGCTAGAGGTCTCAAACAATGTTCATGTCTTCTCAAAGGGTTTCTTGGTTGTAGAATAGCAAACTACACAGATTTATTCAGTTTTTCAAATTAAAAAGTAATCAACAAATGAGACAAAAATTTCAACAAATTCATAGCCACCATCTCCTTAATCTATAGGTGTACTATGGAGCTAAAGGAGCTTGTAAGTCCAGTAAGTGCTAGAGTTTCTGGGAGTTATAAAGTATTTTGGACACACCCAAGTTGTAGAAAGGAAAAATTTGTACATAAGCCTAACAAGATCTTAGAGAAGACCTGAATATCTTCAAAGGGCCCTGAATCTCCAATCATTTGTGGAGAGTTCTTTTCTCATTTTAGATGAATATAAATGTTTGTATTGCATTCTTTTTTTCTCAAAGAGCCTCCAAACTTGTGTAAGTGTCTAATGTAAAAGAACTATCCACTTAAGATGTGTGGAACCTGGAATCACCCCCACGCTTATTTTAGGCCTAACATCTATTCCTTATATCTCAATAAATAGTGCTAGGCATGGTGAAAAGAACTTTATGTGCATTATTTCTTTTTAACCCTCACAATACTCCAGTGAAAATGAAGTCAGAAGAAGTTAAATATCATCCAAAGGATTTCAGTCAATGTCTGTCTTACTAGAGAGCAAAGCTGCTAGTTAGGACTCATACTGACTAATCCTACATAAGATAAAAGATCTTACCCGACAACTTAGGCACCACAAATACGGTTCCATCATCACCAATGCAGCTGACTACTGCCTCAAATACTTTCATGTTGGGAATAACAGGTGGTTTATAGCATCCATGGGTTTTTGGTTCTGGAATTTTCTCCTTAAATTCAGATACCTTGTGTTCACTGATAATATCAGAAGCCATTTTGTCAAAGTTAATTTTAATATTCTTAGTAACCACTGAATCTTCTTGTTTCAGGGGGATTTCCAGGGGCTTCTCAGATAATGAATGGCTGTTATCTAACTTATTAATTCTGTAACATCCAAAAAAGAATACATCTAAACATAAGCAATAAGAAATTCTGGAGAAAACAATATAAACAGAATCCTTTTAATATACTTGAACTTTAAAATATTTGCTTTAGTCTAGGATATACTAGACTAATTTGTTACCTGAAAAGGAGGATAATTTAAGTTGTAATAAAAATTATTTGAAATTATGACTGAGCTTGATATAAAAGGAATATGATTTCACTTAAATGCTTTATATCTCATATTTGTATATTATTATCTCTTAGAATCTCATAAGTATTAGATAGCATTAGGAAATACAACATCTTCACATTGATTCTAATTTAGTCCACATATACATGTGCCAAGTTATTAACAGGCATATAATAACACAAAGATACTATAAGTCCCATAAAAATATGGTACTATTCCTAGAAGAAAATATTAGCATTGATTATTTTAACAGAATTATAACAGATTTTTGTTTCTTCTATTTTCTTTTAAAAGGAAATATGCATTGATAAAGAGCTACATAATTTCTTACCTCCTAGGGCTCCCTCACAGTCCCGTTTTGAGACAGCTGGTGATTTCAGTGGTGTAAAAGCAGGTGCTATCTATCAATGATATTAACTTGCCTAACATTGTTCTCTTTAACATTTCTTTTGTTAGGAATTGCTTTAGTTAAAGGCCAGTGAACCAGAAGAGAGAGATATGTGGGACTGAAGATGCAGAGGTAGCCGCAGGCCACTGCCCAGCATTAGGTCAGCACCCACCAGGCCAGGTTAACCATGTCATGATCCATTTCATTTCTGATTTCTCATTCTCCTTCCATTTCATCAGGACTGGCGCCCAGGCCAAATAAGGGAAGATATAACAACAAAAGATTTAAATAAAAAAGAGATGTGGACATGCATGGTAGAAGGTGGCTGCTTGGGAACATGTGTCAGTAATTCGCACAGACCTGTACATCTAGAAGGAGAGAGAATGATGAAGCTAGGACTACAGCAATATCCTGATCCTTCTCCCTGTGGACCAAAAGTACTTAAGCCCGGAAAGTAGTACCCAAAATGATCTTTAAATGTAAGTATCATGCAGTTACTTTTTTTTTGTGGCACACTTCTGTTTCACAAAAACACATTTTTGGTGTATACCTACTAGAATTGTCAACGTAAAGCTTAAACATTTCTGCCTAAGCAAATGAAGCCAAAAGGCACGGATCTGGTACCCACTATGCCATCCCCTCATCTCCTTCCCTTTGATTTGGAGTGTAAATGCTGAAGCAAAGGGAAAAGTAGAGAAGCAAACATGTCAGTTAAAAGAGGGGTTTAAATATGCAAGAGCTGATGAGACTGAATAAAGGAATTGGCAATCCTGAAGGAATCTGTTTCTGACCTGGCTCCCCAGGTTTAGTTTATAAATCATTTTTAAGAGCAAACAAGATGGCACTCAGGTTTGAAAGCACACAGACATGAAGATTTACACAGGCAAATAAGAAGCCTCCATCACAAACTGATGTAAAAAAATATATAAAAGTTCATACCTCCTTTCTCTCAAAGCCAAACCCTTTTTAATCAAATATTTAGAGACATCAACACGCTCTCCTTTTTCATCTTTGCAGAAAATTTTCACAGGTAAGGGCCATGTCATGTTGTTTTCCTGGTGGTTTAAGAGCAGAGGGAGTGTGAGATACAAAAATGAAATCTTCTACACAATATACTTTCCATGGTCATTTTCTCCACATTTCTCCAAACCAGGAAAAACAAAAAGAGAAATCAAGATAGTGGAGAAGTAAATGGAAGTAACACTGACCTCTTCCCAGGACCAATCTGGAATTACAACTAAACTGTGAAGAAATCACTTGAAACAAAAACTGAACAAAACCCAGAGAGGAGCCTTATAACCTCGGACAGACAGAAGATCAGCATTAGCACAATCTAACTGGTAATGAGTGTGTTAGAGACTCGAGATGGCTGGTGGGGCACCCACAGGAAACAGTGCCAGAGGGATACTGAAATGGCCAGTTGGATCCCCCTGAGAAGAGTGGGATCTAAATGATAAGAGGAATATCCAGCCTACAGCACCAGAGCCCAAAGGGTACAGAGATAACAACCAGCTGCAAAAAGTGGCAGGTAGCTCTCTGCCAGAGAGGGCAGCTGGAACGCAGGAGCCTTTTAAAGGGAAAACCCATAAATTTTTACTTGCAGCCACTTACGCTGGTCTCCAGCAAAGGCAGGGGCAGAGTGAGCTAGAGACGCTTGAGAAGAGACTGGGGAAAGAGGCTTTGGGGAGAGAACTGACAGAGTAGCTGGCAGGATCCCAGTGCTGAATCATCCCCCATATGGCAGCAGTCATCTTGCGCAGGCAGAGACCATTCCCCTGAATGGCAACAGGTGAGAGCATGCAATAGCCCTGTCCCCAGGAGGGACTCTACCCTGCCCCAGTGGTGCTAAAGCCTGACTGCTGAGTACAGAGTGGTAACCACATATAATAGATCCCTGGCTAAGGGGGGTGCAGAGTGGTCTGGAGACGCTTGAGGAGAGACTGGGGAAAAAGGCTTTGGAAAGAGAACAAAGACAGAGTTGCTGGCGGGATCCCGGAGCCAAGTCCTCTCCCATATGGCAGTAGCCATCTTGTTCAGGCACACCACTCCCCTGGGCAGCAGCAGTGTGAGAGGACCTGATAACCTCACCCCCAGGAGGGACTCTGCCCTGCCCTGTGGTGCCTAAACCTGACTGCTGAGTGCACAGTGACTAGATTAACAGCTGAAGGAGAGAGCCACAGAGTGTAGATTCCTGGAAGTCTTAAACAGACTGCCTAAGGGCAGACAGGGTCAATAACTGACATCATTAGAGGTAGATCCAGAAAGAAAAAACAGTGGTCTCCTCCCATAGACGTACACACCACAAAGTCAGGAAATCAAGACAGATCAATTTAAGAAGCAGAAGCATAAAAGAGTCTCACAAATAATGGGAAGACAAAGAAACATCCCCCACTCGAAGGGAAAGGAGGAATACCATGAAAGAGAACTCAATGCAATAGAGGCAAGTAAACTATCAGACATTGAGTTCAAAACAACAGTTCTAAGGAAGCTCAGTGAGCTGATGAGCTCAGAGAGAATATCCAAAAACTACGAGGAACTTACTGCAAACTCTATCAGCATGAAAAAGGACATAGAAACTATCAATAAGAGGCAAGAGGAAATGAAGAATACAATTTCTGAATTAAAGAACACAGTAGAAGGAATCAAAAGCAAGACAGATGAAACAGAGGGATGAATCAGCGAGCTGGAGGATAAGGTAGAAAAAAACTCCCAGAAAGAGTAGGAAAATGAAAAAAGACTCAAAGAGAATGAGGAGGCATTTAGGGAAATGCAGGACGACCTGAAACGTGGTAATATCCGTGTAATAGGGATACCAGAAGGAGAAGAGGAGCAAGGGATAGAGAGAACCTGTTTGGAAAAGTAATGATGGAAAACTTCCCTAACTGGAGGACAGAAAAAGTCACGCAAATCCAGGAAGCATGGAGAGGAACCCAGTGAGGCCCTCTCCAAGACACATGATAATTTAAATGGCAAATGTCAAAGACAAACAGAGAATCCTAAAAGCACCAAGGGAAAAAGAGGTGGTAACATATAAGGCAGTCCTGGTATGGCTAGCAGCTGACTTCTCAACAAAAACACTGCAAGCCAGAAAGGATTGGCAAGAAATATTCCAAGTCATGAAAAGCAAAGGCCTATAGCCAAGACTGCTCTACCCAGCAAGGTTCTCAATTAAAATGGAAAGTGAAGTAAGGAGTTTCCCAGACAAAAGAAGGCTAAAAGAATACGCCTCCACCAAACTAGCATTGCAAGATATGCTAAAGGGACTGTTTTAAGAAGATAAAGAAAAAGAGCCTATGAATACCCCGTTCCTTTCACAGTCACCAATACTTGATATTACCAATATTTTTAATACTTATTAATCTGATTGTGACAATGATGTGTTATTTGTTACTTTATTATTTGTTGAAACTAAATCTGTTTTTGAAAATTTCTTGCCAGTTTCTATTATTTTTAAGAAGCTTTAAATGATTTCTTCATATTATCCATTTTTTGATTAAATGTAAAATTTTTTCCATTAAAAGAAAAACCAAAAAAAAGCTAATAACCCTTTTTTAGATGTGTTGCAAATACTTTCCTATTCTATTACTTGTCCTTTAACTTTTTTTACATGTATATTACTATATAGTCTTAAATGTTTGTTATAGGCATAATTGTCAACATTTTACTTTATAGATTCTGAGTTTGAATATTTTACTTCAGGGTAAGACAAATATTTTTTTCTATTTTCTGCTAAAACTCCTGAGATTTTACGTATTGATTTTTAACTCACCTGAATATTTTTTATAGAATGTGTGAAATAGGGCTCTATATTTGTTTTATTTCAAGTAATAATGGTCCATGCACCTTATTTGTTGAATAAGCCTTATTCTCCCTATTGATTTGAATATCAATTTAATCATGTATTACATTGTTAGACAGATATATATGTTTGTTTCCAGAATCCTCATTTTATTTCATTGATCTACTTGATTGTTTCTGTGCTGATATCATGTTGTTTTAATTGCTGAGACTTTATAGTGGATTTCAATTTTTTAACATTTTATAATGGATTTTTGACATTTAAAAATAAATAAATAAATGAATGAATGAATGAATCTGCTTTAATGAAAAAAAAGAAAGAAGGAAGGAACTCTTACCTTATGCAACGACAAGGATGAAAGTGGAGAATATTATGCTAAGTGAAATAAGCCAGTTGGTGAAAGACAGATACTGTGGACTGTATTCAACAAAATAAACTAACAAACAAAATAAACCAAAGACATGATAATATAGAGCAGACTGAAAGTGACCAGAGGGAATAGGGAAGGAGGACAATGGTGGAAAGAAGGAGAAGGGACCAGACAAAGGACATGTATACATGACCCACGGACATGGACAAGAGTGGGAATTGACTGTGGGAAAGTGGGGTGTGGTGGGATGGGTGGATGAGGGCAAAAGGGGAAAAATTAGGACAACTGTAATAGAATAAACATGATTTAAAAATTTAATAAAGGAAATTTAATCAGGTAACAAACCAACAAACAACTCCCAGCCAGGTCATTTTGAAATATGTACATATCAGAGAGAAAACAGCCCAGAAGAGAGTCAACTGGGGATAGACAGTGTTTTATAAAATGTAGCAGGAAGGCTTCGCTGTCAAGGTAAAACTTATCAAAATAGAGCTGAGGGAAAACAGATCGAAAAACCTTTTTTTTTTTTTTTTTTACCCCAGAAAGGGGGCGAGGAGGGACACACATCAGACACAAGTTCTCCATTATCCTAAACTCTGCAAATTATGGATCAAAATATATTTTCACAGGTGTGCCTTTTTTGTCATACAAAAAGCAAAGAACTATGAAGCATATATCCTGCTTCATAGAAATTATAAAAATGAAGAAAGTACACATAAAAAAAAGTAACATGGAAAAAATTACTTACACAGGAAAATTCTAATAATTAATGCAGTTAATGTATGAGGTTAGAAAAGAGTAAAGGAGGCCAAGAATGTCCTTAAATGTTCTGAAAAGATATATTCTATATATATCCTCTCCTCAAATCCATATTCACAGACACTTTAATGACACACAGTTAATATGACTTCATTAGAAGCCAAATTAAGTTTCCAGTTTGAAAGAATATAAAGAGATTTCAGAAATACACTCTAGAATACATATATTCTGTTTTGTAACATGGAAATTATCAACTCAAGAATATTACTTTAGAAATGTTTTGATTCATTCATATGATCATTTATATTACATCTATTATGAAACAGGTCTTTTAACTTGAAATAAGACCAAAAAAATTGGAAAAAATCAGTTTGCTATTATTTTTTCAACAAGAAAATAAATGTAGTTGTAAAAACCATCAATGAAATAATCAGTACAGTTTTTCTGAACACCAATGCATACCTGCAAAATTATGGTCGCTACAGCTCCAGTTAGATACAATGATAGACAGTCACAAGCTGTTGCTGTCCACTTGTCACTCCCACCAGTTGGTCTAAAAAAATAATAGTAACTTGTTTTATAACAGCACAGGACATATAAAAGTAAAACAATCACCATATACATATATATTTCAATCAACTACATATGTAGTGTGAAATCAATTTAAACTTTGCTTTTATTATTTCCACAATTCTATTTCACATTTCATAGACTTTTGTTCATCCCTCTATTCTAATGAGATCCTTGTAGATAAAAATAGGCTGGAAAAACCAGTAACTGTAAAGGTTCACTAAGGTTTTTAGAATATTAGAAAGGTCTTTGGGGTCTTTTCGGGATCTTTTAGTTTTGTGAACAGATTTGTAATATTCCTATTTGTGCCTACATGTGGAAAATGTACACAATATGTGTAGGTATGTATCTTTCAGCCAAATAACAGCAGTTGGCTAAATGGATTTGCTTCACATTAGGGAGAAAATATAAGACAATCCCCAACTGGAGCTTCTGTGCATGGTGGATAACTGTGGGTAACACACCAAGCGCTAGGAATTTATCCTCCCACCCAGCTTTAATTGAAGATGAAGCTGCTTCCCATTTGTGAAATTACATTCTATACTCCATGGCAAACAGTAGCCAAGATTTATCCAGCAATAGCTAGTAACCCTTTTGAAACTCTGGAGGGAAGGTCAATTAGCTTTGGCAAACACTGTTACTTTAGTAACTAAATACTCTGATTTTTGTCAACAGAGCTAGAAATTCAAATATTTATGTGGCACCTACTGGTTTTTAAGAAAACGTTGATTAAATAGTTCAAAATTTAAAAACTTTCTATAGGCCAAATACATGGTGTTTGTTACCTGGATTTGGCCCACAAACTGGAAACTACAACTTCTGGCATAGATATATGCTTTCAAATTTCCAGGTAATGAATCAGAAAGGAGAGCCTAGGTGTTAATTAATGGTATTTGAATTTCAAAACCAAGTAGATGAAATGACAGGAACAAACATAAAACTCTATATATTTTGGTGGAAAAAAATGATTTAAGTGTGTAAAAAGCTACAGTTTCCTAATAAGTTCCAGTGAAGAGGAGCAGGTGTCACTCCTACTGGAGCCATATTTAACTAGAAAGCCTGTGTAAGGACATCATGGCCTGTCCTGCCCTCCAGGTCAGTGATGGGTCTTTGGCTATAAACTCTGATTTGTATCAGTTGGCTATATTTCCTTCTTTGGGGTAAATAAAGCATGATACTTCTCACAGAGTCAACAAATAAAGACTGATGTGCTTTTCTATACTACCACTGTTTAGTATAACTGAAAGTTGACTGGAGTTACATACAGCTCATCTCACTAGGTTTTTGACTAATATTCACAAGCTTAATGCAAGTTCAATGAAAACTGCTTAAGAAATTCAACCCAACTCACATCTACAAAATACAAATTTAAACACACAATATTAACCAAAATGTAATGAATAGAATAATGTTTGTAGTTTTAGTGAGTCTGCTCAGAATATACCTGAAATAATTCTTCCAACTTAAACCAGAAAACAATTAGAGAAGGCAAGCGGGAAAAATGTAGAAATCATTTGAGGATTATTTGACAAAACTGTAGTAGCCTGGAAGAAAAAAGTCCATGGAATGTGATATCCACCTTTCCATATCTGATGGTTAAGAGTCAAGAGGTTTGTTCTGAGGTAAAATGAAGATGTGCAGAAGACATAAGGAGACCAACTTCAATGCAGTGTAAGGAGATACTAGCAAGCTCCCTTGAGGAATAGTCTCCATAGCACTGGAAGTTTTCAAGCAGGTCTTGCATGTCCACTTATTAGGATTGATATGGAGAAATTACTGTCATGATGCCTCTAAGGTCTTTGGATTCCAAGTCTAAGACTATATAATTTTTGTTACGAAGATACTATGACTTTATTGCCATGGATTTATCAATGAAGGAAGGTCTCCCAGAATCAAGAATTTGCTACTTTATTTTTCAAAAAGAAGTCTGAGGGTAATATATTCCCATGCTAAGTGCTTCTGTGACTCCTTTCCAGCATGGGAAAACCATAAAATGCAGGTCAACATTGAGATCAATGAAGAGCCATATTGAGTTTTACCAAACAACATTTTCTTCTTAAATTATCTATTCAGAACAGGCTGTATTTTTCTATATACTTTTAAGCTATATCTTATTTACAGATTTTTCTTAATAGCTGAATAGTATCTGAGTATTTTCTTTAAAATCTGGCAAACTTGCCTTTTAAAAGTTATGGTAATTTTCAAACATATTCAAAAGCAGAATGAATAAAATAAATCTGATGTATGTATCACTCAGCTTCAACAATTACAAATATATGATCAATTTTATTTCATTTAGACTCCCACATACTCCCATCCCTGATTATTTTTAATGAAGTTCCAGATAGAACATTTTATTTGAAAAGATTTTAGTTTGTATTTCCAAAAGATAGTCTTTATCAAATCTAACCACAGTATCATCATCACATCTAAAAAATTTAGTAATTCTTTAAGATCAACCATTCAGATGATGTTCGTTTTTCCCTGATGTTTCAAAACAGTCTGAATTGGTAAAATAAACAAAGTCCAAACATCATGAATGGTTGATATGTATCTTGAGTGCCCCTTTCCATCTCTTTTTCTTGCAACTTTCTGTTGAAGAAACTGAGTCATTTGTCCTACAGTTTCTATGATCTGGATTTAGCTGATTACATTGCTATAGGGTTTAACATTATCCTTGTATTTCCTTTCAGTTCATAGTGATATCTAGAGTCTTGATCAAATTCAGGCTTGCATTTTCTTTTTGTAGCAACACTGCTCATAGGCACTTCCAACAGGAGGTACATAATGTCTGGTTGTCTTTTTGTGATGCTAGCAGAACTGGTAACTGTCATCTAGATTCCCTTCTTTGTTTATTGAGGTTATAAAATGGTGCTATTTTAATGACATCATTCTTCCTTTTTTAGTGAGAATACTTATAAAAAACAATTTTATAAGCTGAAATATACATTGTAAAGGAAAAGCAAGATGAAAGCTCTTTTCCCTTATCCACCAGTTTTCAGAATAAAGTGGTTCCCTAGAATCCTCTAGAAGTAACCAATGAGGTTTTTTTTTTTAAATCACTTTATAAACTTAGGGATTTAAACAAAGCAAATGTTTTTATACATTACAATTATCCTACTGATGCTCAAATTGTCTTATCTTTACTCGGTGGAATTTTATTCAGGTTGGCTGAGTCCTTTTGTCATAATCTCCATCATCATTATTTTTTTTAAAGACTATTTTTAGAGAGGGGGGAAGGGAAGGAGAGAGAGGGGGACAGAAACATCAATGTGTGGTTGCCTCTCGTATGCCCCACCTTGGGACCTGGCCCGCAACCCTGGCATGTGTCCTGACAGGCAATCAAACCAACAACTCTTTGGTTCGCAGGCTGGTGCTCAAGCCACTGAGCCACACCAGCTAGGGCATTGATAATTTTTTATAGCTTTCTTGCATTTTGCTATTGCACATTTTCTGTTCCAGACCTAGAATCTGACATTTTTCCAAAGAGCAGGAATTTCTGTTCATGGGAAATGGTATTTGGAGGCCACAATTTGCATTCTAGCAAAGCTTACTGTGACTGGGGCCTTTATGTTCCAGGGATGAAAAATACATACAACACCTCAAGAGTTTCTATTGACACTTGAATTCAAAATCAGGAGTACAAGGTAAATTACCTTCAATCTTACACCTTTGTCACCTGTCTACCACACCAGTTCTTAACAGTATGTACATAATTACTATTTCTACTTACCCCATAAATACAGACACAGTAGTTTCTGTAACACTACAACCCACTTTGAGAATAATGAAAACAACTGATTCAGGAAGGAGGAGAGTTACTTTTTTGTCCTTATGGTATATTCTGATAAAAATGTACAGTGAACTTAATGTGTTTTAAGTCTTTTGGAGACATTCCTCCCTGAAAGGCCATGCCACCACTATGTAGATTAAATGAATTTAATTTTCTTTACAATTTTACTGATTCATTTATATAAAATATTAACATAATTCCAGTATTAAGTCAGTGTATTTTAGTATCCTCTTCTCACTTTCCCCCAACATCTTATTTAAAGTACTTACTCCTAGTTAATATGAATAAACAGTAAGTTTATTCAAGTTTTCATATATAGTTTCATTTCTGTCCCCATTTTTGAAATTGTGCCACATCTACTTTGCGTGTTATACTATTTCCTTAATAATGATCATTTAATCACAGTTCTGAGGTAAAATAAATGTAATGTTCATCACCAATCCTTATTTCAAAATCTTTCATGTCTTGTTATCTAAAGCTTGTTCTCTTGCAGATTCCTCAGGAATAATACTTCCTGACTGGTCATAGAAGTTTGTCTGTGGTCTTTATCTTTCAGGTCAGTTTGGCTGGACGTAAAACTCATGGTTTGCCATTTTCTTTTGAGTATTTAAAAACTGTTACTGAATTATCTTCTGGCATAAAATGGTGGTGATGACAGAATAAAATGGTGTGATTTTATTCCGCTCAAAAGTCAACAATTTTACTCGATAACCCCTCAGTATATGCAGTCCTGATATTCCAAGCTATGTAATGTGCTCTTTCAATATATAGTTTTAAGCAGTCTTTTCTTTTAGAGACACTTTTGGGTTTTTAGTATTTGGTTCTATTTCTTTTAGTTTTCTTCTTTGAAATTCCTGTTATATGTATGTTGAGTCTTTTTTTCTTTTTGGTTTATTTTAGATAACTTTTCTTTTGAATCCTCTGGATTTTTATTTTTTAATTAAGAAATCTGTCTTTGTATTTCTATTAAGGCATTGTTTATTGTGTACTTGCTTTTGTGTTTTTCTAGTTTAGTCTATATTTCTGTAAGATTTTCCTTTATTTCTAATTCTTTTTTTTTTTTTTTTTAGGGGAAGTTATTTTTATTTTGTGTTTAAATTTTTCTTTTTCTTTTTTTTAATTAATTTATTTACTTTTTAAATACATTTGTCTCTGCCTTCTTGAGTGTGATCTTTTTTCAAAGCTTCCTTTTTCTATAAATAAATTCTATTTGTTAGTTTTTGTAATTGTTTTATACTGTTTGTCACATTGTCAATAATTTTCAAAATTTTTTTGTTTTGAAATTTAGATTACAGTTTATTGTGTTGTGAGTTTGCTTTTTTGGTGGATCTCCACTGCCTCTAGAGATACTTATTTGGATCCTTATTCTTCTTTCTCATAATTTGCATAGAATTTAACTGTAGCTCTCGCTTTTGCTCATGTTTTATGTGAAATAAAATTTTCTGTGCTTTCAGGAGAAATGGGTGAATCACACTGCTTTTTCCTAGCTTCATGGCTCTCTTGTGTTATTTTCACAAAGTGACAGAAAATGGGGCCTCATACTTGAGGTTCTGTGTCTTTTCTTTACCCCATTGTCTGTCTTGCTCAAATTGGACTCTTTTCCCAGCAGTCTCTCCTCAGTGTGGAGTCCTGGGAGAAAGACGAGATGGCTGAGAACTTACATGGCTAGGAGAGCTCTATCCCTGCAACATTGCCACATTACAAACAGGTCTCTCGCATTCAACTACGAAGTATCCTGCAACACTTGCTTCTCCATTCAGGCTGCTGTTCTCATACTGGCCTGCCAGCTCCAGTGAACTGCTGTGCCAATTCCTTTTCTCAGAGCTGTGTCAGCAGCCCACTCAGCTTTCCCTCCACATGCTCTCATACAACTGACAACATCATACAGGCTGATTCCTGTGTGCTGTATCTGCTTGCAGTTGCCTACTTTTGTGTAGATGTTGATTGTGCAATTTTTACTTTTGCTATCTAAGTTGCTCTGTTTTTTTGGTAGGATTCTAGCAGACTCCAAGAGTATGTCATGCCATTTTCCCAGAATCCTTTTTAACTCGGTCATTTTGGTAATTTACCCATTTTTAGCTTTCCACGCAATTCTATGCTTGTGAAATACATTTTATTTTTCTGTGCCTTTGTTCTGCAAGTTCTTTTTGTATTTAACACTTTGAATCCTATGTAGATACCTGTCATACTTACCTATTTCTATTTCCTTAATACCACAAAAATTTATATGCTCCAAATTTTTATCTTTCCCTCTTCTTAAAAATCTTTAAATTAACTAGATTTTATGAAAACTTCAGAAAACATTAGCAAAATGAAAACTGACAAGAACCATCCCAAAAGAAAAATATTTAAAATTACATTCAATAGTGAGAAAATTTACTCAGATGAAAGTTACCTTATATCAACAAGAGAGCATTCCAAGGATAATCTGCCCATTATCTTTAGGTTTTCTTGAAGTTCTCGTAAACAGTTAATATTCACTACTAGTTCAATACCCACATCATACAGCAAGACCTAAGAAAAAATAACTTTAAATCCATGGAAAGAAAACACTTCAAAATTTATTTTGCAAATGAAAAGCTTAATAAAAATTAGAGTAAATAAATCCAGGATAAAAATACAAAATATATTCACATTCATGACTGTATTTGTAACTCTGCATTTACCTCTACCAATGTGTCTGTAACCATTCTGATGATCTGGCCTCTTCGCCACTGATTGTTATCTGGAATCTTAACAGCACAGTGCATATCATTTTCCCATTTAATAGGTTCCCATTTTGAATTTTCATAAGCAGCTACCATCTTTTCTTCTAAACTAAGTAAAGAAAAAATATTTTAACTTTCTAAACCTTTTCTGATAAATATAAAATCCTCTGACCACATGTCTTATACTGTCCTCTCTTACTCTACTCCAGCCAAACTGAATACCTTGTTCTTCCTTATCTACCCAGCCTATTTCCACTGCAGGGTCTTTGAACTAGCTTTTCCCTCTGCCAGAGATGAACTTCCCCCAGATATCCTCATAGCTTACTCCCTCTCCTACTTCAGGATCCATTTCAAATTTCACTGTCTCTGTGAGGTCTTCCTTGATCATCCTAAAATTGTTTTCCTACCCATCTGATTTATTTTTCTCTATTTATCAGCATCTGCTATATTTAATACTTTATTTCCACTGTTTCTTTCTCTACTAAAACTTAAGCTCCATGACAGCAAAGACTTGTCCATGTTTTAACCACTGTAACCCAAGACCTAATACACAGGCTGTCAAATAATAGCTGCTCAATAAGCATTTGTGGAATGAACAAATCCTAATAAAGTGAAAATAACCAGTAAAGATACTATTTGTATACTTTTAACTAGTTAAAAGTAGGCTATTTTGCTGAAATAATGTTGGTACTTTTAAAATTCTATACTTATGACTTTTTTTGGAAACAAAATATTAAAAAAGGAATAAAATCATATGCAATAGGTTTTCCTTATATCTAATACCTATTAAGTAAGTTTTCTGTTAATAACCACTGAACATAAATCTTCTCAGGAGATATTACATTACAGATATGCACAGGCAGTTCCTTATCATAAAGTGACTGAAGATTCTCATTGGGTAGAGATTTTGCTGACACAGAATTTAAGCTGTTTACTTCATTTGAAATAATTTCTTCTGGAGAAGGATCCCACACTTCAGTATGTTTTTTGGAATTATCTTTGATGGTGTATCTGAAAAATAACAACCCATTAGCAAAAAGAGTAGTTTTAAAATGTATGTTTGCCTTTGCTTATAGAACTAGATATAAATGAGTTTTAGCTGTGACTCACTATTTCCCAGTTTTGATATGAATAGCAATGTTTGTCTTTTTAAAAAAAGAGTTCTTAACTATCACTGAAGTAAGTACAAGAATAAAAACCTAAAAGCCAAACTTCCTATCTTAAAAACAGTTTAAAGGACCAACTTTGCCCATGATTTCATCATTTCCCATTGATATTTTATACTTACAAAGGAGAACCATTATTCAGTTTTTTTGATAACTTGAATATTTCCCCATGACTAAAAAGTATCAACGTATACCAGTGAGAATACAAGTGGAAATCAATTGCTATTAAAGGGTGCTAAGGGGAAAAATTATTATATAAAGAGTTAAGAATGCTTAATAAATCAGAGTAGTTCAGAGTCTAATCACAGATAATTAATTAGATGTCATTTTCTAATTCTATAAAGAAAAAACAATTTCACCATAAATTTTAGATTTAACTACCCAAGGTGAATAACGTTTGCTGCTAAATCTGAGCTGTAATGTTCCTAACGTTAATCAAACGGAAAATCTTAGGCTAAATATGACTATGTAAAGGACCAAATGTTGTAGAGCCTCATGGCCTGGACTGTTTCCAGTCCTTACTTGACATGAACACTGAGAACTAGCCAACAGTACAACTCAAAGAAATACAAGGTTCTATGGCCAAGAAAGGACTGTACCTTTAACTTTTGGTTACAACAGGAGTAATTAAGTAATTTAGTTATTTGACCTATGTGTTCATGTAACAATATCGATATTGATGAATAAGAGAGCATGTTCATAGTCTGACACATAAATGTTATCTTTTACTATGTATTAACCATACTTGATGACCAGATGGACAATTTAAAAATTTTTTTAGCTTTACTGAGGTAAAACTGATACATGAAATTTTAAGATATTTAAAATGTACATGCATGGCCCTGGCCAGGTAGCTCAGTTGGTTAGAGTGACGTCCCAATACATCGACATCACAGGTTCAATCCTGCAATCAGAGCACATACAAGAATCAACCAATGGCCCTGGCTGGTATGGCTCATTTGGTTAGAGTGTCAACCTGTGGACCAAAAGGTTTCAGTTTCAGTTACTGGTCAGGGTACAAATGAGAGGCGACTGACTGATCGATGCTTTTCTCTCTCCCACTGATGTTTCTCTACCTCCATTCCCCTAAAATCAGTGGGCATGTCCTCAGGTGAGGATTTAAAAAAAAATCAGAGTAGAATCAAGATGGCAGAATAGTGGATGGAAGTAACACTGACCTATTCCTGGAACCAATCTGGAATTACAACTAAATTGTGGAGAAACCACCTGGAATAAACAACTGAAAAATAGTGAGAGAAGAGCCTTATAACCTTGGACAGACAGAAGATCAGCATTAGCACAACCTAACTGGTAAAGTATGGTAGAAACTCAAGAAGGTGGATGGGGCACCCACAGGAAACAGTGCCAGAGGGATACTGAAATGGCCAGTTGGATCCCCCTGAGAAGAGTGGGATCTAAATGATAAGAGGAATATCCAGCCTACAGCACCAGAGCCCAAAGGGTACAGAGATAACAACCAGCTGCAAAAAGTGGCAGGTAGCTCTCTGCCAGAGAGGGCAGCTGGAACGCAGGAGCCTTTTAAAGGGAAAACCCATAAATTTTTACTTGCAGCCACTTACGCTGGTCTCCAGCAAAGGCAGGGGCAGAGTGAGCTAGAGACGCTTGAGAAGAGACTGGGGAAAGAGGCTTTGGGGAGAGAACTGACAGAGTAGCTGGCAGGATCCCAGTGCTGAATCATCCCCCATATGGCAGCAGTCATCTTGCGCAGGCAGAGACCATTCCCCTGAATGGCAACAGGTGAGAGCATGCAATAGCCCTGTCCCCAGGAGGGACTCTACCCTGCCCCAGTGGTGCTAAAGCCTGACTGCTGAGTACAGAGTGGTAACCACATATAATAGATCCCTGGCTAAGGGGGGGTGCAGAGTGGTCTGGAGACGCTTGAGGAGAGACTGGGGAAAAAGGCTTTGGAAAGAGAACAAAGACAGAGTTGCTGGCGGGATCCCGGAGCCAAGTCCTCTCCCATATGGCAGTAGCCATCTTGTTCAGGCACACCACTCCCCTGGGCAGCAGCAGTGTGAGAGGACCTGATAACCTCACCCCCAGGAGGGACTCTGCCCTGCCCTGTGGTGCCTAAACCTGACTGCTGAGTGCACAGTGACTAGATTAACAGCTGAAGGAGAGAGCCACAGAGTGTAGATTCCTGGAAGTCTTAAACAGACTGCCTAAGGGCAGACAGGGTCAATAACTGACATCATTAGAGGTAGATCCAGAAAGAAAAAACAGTGGTCTCCTCCCATAGACGTACACACCACAAAGTCAGGAAATCAAGACAGATCAATTTAAGAAGCAGAAGCATAAAAGAGTCTCACAAATAATGGGAAGACAAAGAAACATCCCCCACTCGAAGGGAAAGGAGGAATACCATGAAAGAGAACTCAATGCAATAGAGGCAAGTAAACTATCAGACATTGAGTTCAAAACAACAGTTCTAAGGAAGCTCAGTGAGCTGATGAGCTCAGAGAGAATATCCAAAAACTACGAGGAACTTACTGCAAACTCTATCAGCATGAAAAAGGACATAGAAACTATCAATAAGAGGCAAGAGGAAATGAAGAATACAATTTCTGAATTAAAGAACACAGTAGAAGGAATCAAAAGCAAGACAGATGAAACAGAGGGATGAATCAGCGAGCTGGAGGATAAGGTAGAAAAAAACTCCCAGAAAGAGTAGGAAAATGAAAAAAGACTCAAAGAGAATGAGGAGGCATTTAGGGAAATGCAGGACGACCTGAAACGTGGTAATATCCGTGTAATAGGGATACCAGAAGGAGAAGAGGAGCAAGGGATAGAGAGAACCTGTTTGGAAAAGTAATGATGGAAAACTTCCCTAACTGGAGGACAGAAAAAGTCACGCAAATCCAGGAAGCATGGAGAGGAACCCAGTGAGGCCCACTCCAAGACACATGATAATTTAAATGGCAAATGTCAAAGACAAACAGAGAATCCTAAAAGCACCAAGGGAAAAAGAGGTGGTAACATATAAGGCAGTCCTGGTATGGCTAGCAGCTGACTTCTCAACAAAAACACTGCAAGCCAGAAAGGATTGGCAAGAAATATTCCAAGTCATGAAAAGCAAAGGCCTATAGCCAAGACTGCTCTACCCAGCAAGGTTCTCAATTAAAATGGAAAGTGAAGTAAGGAGTTTCCCAGACAAAAGAAGGCTAAAAGAATACGCCTCCACCAAACTAGCATTGCAAGATATGCTAAAGGGACTGTTTTAAGAAGATAAAGAAAAAGAGCCTATGAATACCCCGTTCCTTTCACAGTCACCAATACTTGATATTACCAATATTTTTAATACTTATTAATCTGATTGTGACAATGATGTGTTATTTGTTACTTTATTATTTGTTGAAACTAAATCTGTTTTTGAAAATTTCTTGCCAGTTTCTATTATTTTTAAGAAGCTTTAAATGACTTCTTCGTATTCTTTATCCATGTTTTGATTAAATGTTTGTAGAATTTTTTCCCTAAAAAGAAAAATGAAAGAAAAACTATTGTTGGGACATGCCCAGCCTGATTTCAGAAGCTGTAACCCTGCCAACAGGCTTGAGGGCATCAAGGTTGGAAATAATCAGGAGGCCTTGGAGAAACAGGCTCCTGAGGAGACATGGTCTGTCTCCCCCTGGCAGGGGCATAGCTTCTGCTTCTCTGCTTTGCCTTGTGATGGTCCCTGTCAATGATGGGTAAGACCCCTCGGGGGAGGGGCAACCTAAGCCAGGCATCGACCGATATAGGCAGGAGACAGGATATTGGGGGACATGGAGAAGGGCAAAAAGGCCTCTGCAACTCTCGGCTTGGATTGAACACAGTCAGAGTCCTCACTGCAGCTGAGAAGCAGTCTCCTTATCTCTTGGTGCTTCCCTCCCCACACCTGGCTCAGGCTTGAAGCAGTGCAGGAGTCAGCTCTAAATCAGGTCTGGCAGTTGCCAAGGAAATCAGGCCTAAAAGTAATTTCTTTAAATGTGCTTTGTTCTTTCCTCAGATCTCTAGCCAGCTCTTGCTGTGAAGGACATTCACATTATTTACACCCTTTACCTTGTTAAGACATTTGTTTTATTTACACCTTTTACCCTGTATCTTTAAGGCACCTTTAAGTCTACTTTGCCCTCATCTATAGTCTGTATTGTTGATTCTAGTCCCTCTCGGACCCATGTAAATCAGTGCATTCCTGTCAATTGTTTTCTTAAAGGTATCTATTCTCTGTGAAACTTAACATGCTAATATAACAACTGTATGTATGCATTCCTGTTACCTAGTCCACTGATAAGTTTTTCAATAAAAGCCTTGGAACAAAGGACAACGGGGCCTTCCCCACTAGGGGGATGTTCCATGGCCTTCTCCAGTAAGAGGGAAGTGTCCCTGTCTGCTCTCCCGGCAAACAGAGAAGTGTTTGCGATGTTTTGTGTTTATTTCCACTCATGAGTGACAACCCTGGGGCGGGCTCTGCGGATTTCAGAGCCCTGCTCCCACCTCAGCTGGCCCCAGCTGGTCTCCCTCAGGTTTCAGGGAGCGCTGCGCTCTCTGCGGTGCTCCCCTGTGGTGGTGTCACACCCCTATAGCCTCCACACAGTGCGACAAATTATTAACCCTTTTTTAGATGTGTTTCAAATACTTTCCTATTCCATTACTTGTCCTTTAACTTTTTAAAATATGTATATTACTATATAGTCTTAAATGTTTATTATAGTTATATTATCAACATTTTACTTTATAGCTTCTGAGTTTAAATGTGTTACTTCAGGGTAAGACAAATATTATTTTCTATTTTCTCCTAAAACTGAGATTTTACATATTGATTTTTAACTCCCCTGAATATTTTTTATAGAATGTGCGAAATAGGGCTCTATATTTGTTTTATTTCAAGTAATAGTGGTCAATGCATCTTATTTGTTGAATAAGTCTTATTTTCCCCATTGATTTGAAGTATCAATTTAATCATATTACATTGTTAGACAAATATATATATTTGTTTCTAGAATGCTCATATTATTTCATTGATCTGCTTGATTTTTTTTCTGCTGGTATCATGTTTTAATTGCTGAGACTTTATAATGGATTTAAATTTTTTAATGTTTTATAATGGATTTTGACAAAAAATAAATAAAATCAATCTGCATTAAAAAAATAGAGAAGGAACTCCTACCTCTTGCGACAACATGGATGGAACTGGAGAATATTATGCTAAGTGAAATAAGCCAGTTGGTGAAAGACAAATACCATATAATATCAACTATAAGTGGACTCTATTCAACAAAATAAACTAATGAACAAAATAAACCATGGGCATGAAAACATGGAGCTCACTGAAAGTGACCAGAAGGGATGGGGAAGGAGGACAATGGTGGAAAGAAGGGGAAGGGACTAGACAAAGAACATGTATGCATGACACATGGACATGGACAACAGTGTGGGAATTGACTGTGGGAGTTAGGGGTGGGGGTGGGATGGGTGGAGGGGGGTAAAGGGAGAAAAACTGAGACCACTGTAATAGAATACACATGACTTAAAACAATAAAAAAGTGCAAATAAAAAGGAAAACTTACAATAAAAATCAACCAATGGATGCATAAATAAATGCAATGACAAATCGATGTTTCTCTCTCCCCCTTCTCCCTCACTCTAAAATATCAGTAAATTTTTAAAAATTAAAAAGTAAAATAAAATGCATATGCATGTTTATAAAAATCTGTAGCTGTGCATCTTAAAAATGGAGAATTTTATTGCATATGTTATATGTCAATAACTTTGACTTAAAAAAAACACTTGGTCTAATGTATTTTAGTGTTTCCTTTCACCTCTTTCTCTCCCTCACATAGGACCCATACTGGAAATAGGACAGGCCCTCTCTCTTCTGCTATTAGCTCTTCCAGTATTAGGATAGGGAGGGAAAACAAGACCACATGCTGAACACATGATGGCAAGACTCTGCTGGTGTCATTGTTTCACTGGCTTACTCTGACAGACAATATTTGTTTTCTTGAGGGCTGTATGTGGCAGTTATTCAGAAGATCCCTCAAGGGCCACCCTACTGCACAAGTCCTTGACATGGAAGAATTGCTTTGTCTTGAATCGAAACTCTTCCAACCTCTCCTCACCACTACTCTGCCTTCTGCTTCTGGGGTGGTCTCAACCACTAACCTGTACTGGGTATTAGTACAATGGCTCAAGCCTGATTCTTTTTCAAAGTATCCACCTCAACCCAGGAGAAATTTACTTTTCTCCAAATGGGAATGTGGGGTACCCAACCAGGATGCTTATTCTGTATCCTGCCATTTCTTTTTCTAATTATCTTCTCACACAGGTATAAGAGGATGCCTAAGGAGATATTCTATCTAGAAATAAAATGTCAGTATATTTTCTAACATGCATCTTCAATCTCTAGGAGCCTTTCTCATGGTTTCAGGATTCCTTACGATGGAGGGAAAAGCCACTCTAATCCCCACTAGACTAATGACTTCAATGATTGTTCCTGACCCATCAACAGAAGAAAACGCCCATTTATGACCCAAGTAGATTTTCCAAAGAGGAATGACATGTCAGCTTCCCTTCTTGTGAATAAAGCATTACATATGAACTAAAAATAAAAGTTTATACGTCTACTCACCCTACTTCGTAAGATGCTAGGCCTTCTTTGACCAGCAGGTCATTAATACTAGTAGGAATCATTCCAGGAGCACCAAGAGAATCGAAAAGCTCAACTAAGAGCACATTATCTTCCAGAATTTCTGTAAAATCATTAAGACTAGTTTGGAGAAAGAAAGAAATATGATGCAAAATATACTAAATGAAGCAATTTAAAAAACTAGAAACAATTTTTTACATTTAGTGTATGTAAGGTTTCTTGTTAAATAATCTCAAATTCCCTCTTGGGGGTAAGAGTGGCATTTTGCAGACATAAAAGAAATGCCACTGTTATCAATAGCACATATAAATTAATAAAATGTTCATTTTAGGTTATTGTGTGCTACTCTATAATGAACCAAAAGCAGTTTAAAGCTTTTAGATTCAGAAAATTATAAACTGACATATATTCACCGAAAAAAGTTCTTCTATGTTTTTATACTATTTAATCATATTCAATCAAGTTAAAGAGGACAAAAATAAGAGAACGAAGGGTCAGCAATTTTTTATGAAAGTTTATGATTTTTAGAAGAATGGCACAAAGTTTAAAAGAACAAGAACTCAACCTATAACCCTTAATCAACTGGATTTTAGAAAAACCCATCTAAATTTCTTTTAGAAAACAAATTGGTTGATTGTTTATTAGCTCTATTTCTTAAATTAAACTAAAAGTTAGCTAAAGGTATAGTTTACATCTCATGTGATTATTTATTTATTTATTTATTTATTGTTACACAGCACAGGGAATCTGCTCAATGAGTATCTGAATAAATGACAGAGGCACTTCTTTAGGCAACACACATTTCTATGCATGAAGGTCAATTTATGCATACACCTTCTGTACATTAGTAGGTGGTACCTGCTAGTCAGGATGCTGTCTCCAAATAAAAAGATAAACTGTTATCAGTAGTAACATGCTGTATTATCCAGTCATAATAATACATATTAGAAAACATTTTTCAAGAACTTAAAAGGCATTCCTGGAGAGAGGAAGATGGTGGAGGTGTGAATGGGAGTCATGCTGACCTCCTCCCAACCCAAACTGGAATTGTGACTAAATAGTGGAGAAATCACCTGGAAAACAATGGAACGATAGAGGTAGAGGAGCCTTGGAGCTGCGGACAGTGGATTAACTTTCACACGTCCCAACGGGTGAGAAGTGCGGTGGAGGCTCAAGAGGGTGGGCTGGGTGCCCATGGGCGTTAGCACCAGAGGGACATTGAAACGGCCAGTTGGATCCCTCTGAGAACAACAGGGTCTGAACCATAAACAGGGACCCCTAGACTACAGCAGCTGAAACCAGGAAAACACACAGACAAAACGCAACCCCGAAAAGCTTAGGGGCGCTCTCTGCCGGAGACAGGCGGCTGGGGATGCAAAGAGACATTTAAAGGGCCAACGCAAAAAGTTGCAGCGGCAGCCACCCTCCTTGATCGCTGGGTAGAGGTGGCAGCAGAGTGGGCTGGTGCCTGGGAAAAGATTGGTGAGGAAAACTTTGTGAAGAGAACTGAGACGGTGGTCAGTGGAGCCCCGGTGATAACGCACCTCCCACTCTGCAGCTACCATCTCGCTCAGACATAAGGGAATCAATTAACCTGCCTTTTGTGCGCTCTGCACACAGCTTGTGCGTGTGTTGCGGGGCGGGGCGGGGTGGGGCGCTAAGTGCAGAGAAGCTGGAAGAAATAGAGGATCCCTGGCGAAATGGGTCACACAACTGTATAGAGAGCCTTAAGGAGAGACTGGAGACGGAGGCATTGGGGAAAGAACAGGAGGAGGAACTGGGGAATCCCAACTCCTTCTCCTTTCCGTAGTCTCCATTGTGCGCAGGCGGACCACGCCCCCAAAGAGCCAAAAGCTGAAAAGCACAAAATAGACAGCCCAAAACCACCCAGTGCAGGCTAACACATGCCAAATGGCTGGGGAGGGTTGCCAGCGCGTGTGTGGACCCGCAACCACGCGGCCTGGCGAGGGGTCCCGCAGGGTGGTGCCCTAGGGGCCTGCGAAGGAGTGCACAGATCGGCAAGGGCAGGCATAAACCAGCACCCACGGGGCCCCACGAGTGCAGAGAGGTCTGTGGAAATAGTGGATCCAGGGCCGAAGGGGTCACAGAGCTGCCCAGAAACCGTGGAGGAGAGACTGGAGACAGGATTACCTGGAGAGTACTGGAGCTGACTTCCTCCCATTTCTGTAGTCTCCATTTTGTGTGTGCAGGCGACGCCTCCAAAGAGACAAAAGCAGGGAAAGCACACAATAGGGGATCCTAAACTAACCAGTCCTGGGGCGCCCACCGGGCCCAGGCGCGAGATGAGTGCATGAGGTTGGGCAAATAAGCGCCCAGGCGGACGGGGGATCCTGCTGGACCTGGGAGCACGCTCAAGGAGCTGGCATGAGAGTGCAGAGTGATCAACAGAAATAGTGGATCCCTGGATGAAGGGGTCACAGAGCTGATGAAAGCAGGAGTCAGACACAGAGAATAGACTCCTGGAAAGCTCAAACAAATGATCCAAGGTCATATAGGGTCAACAACTGACATCATCAGAGGCAGGACAGAAAGAAAAGCAAAGAAACAGAAATAAATAAATGAATGAATGAATGAATAAAAAAGATCTGCCTACTACCATAGAAGTTTAATCCACAAAGTCAGGAAATCTAGATGGCCCAAATTGAAGAAAAAGCAAAAATAAATAAGTAAATTACTTAACAGACTCTCAAAAAAAAGGGAAGAAAAAGAAGTTCCCTCCAAATGAGGGGAAAAAGGGAATCCCCAAAGAGAGCTAAATGAATTAGAGGCAAGGGAACTATCAGATATTGAATTCAAAACAATGGTTCTAAGGAAGCTCAATGAGCTCAGCCAGCTCAAAGATAACTATGAGAAACTGCAGAGAAACTCTCAGGATCTTACAGCAAACTATATCAGCCTGGAAAAGGACATAGAAACTATCAAGAAGACACAAGAGGATATGAAGAATACCATTTCTGAATTGAAGAACATAGCAGAAGGAATTGAAAGCAGGCTGGATGAAGCCAAGGATCAAATTAGTGAGATGAAGGATAAGGTAGAAAAAAGGTCCCAGAAAGAACAAGAAATGGAAAAAAGACTCAAAAAGAATGAAGAGGCATTTAGGGAAATGCATGACAACCTGAAACGCAATAATATCCATATAACAGGGATACCAGAAGGAGAAGAGGAGCAAGGGATAGAGAACCTCCTCAAAAAAGTAATGATGGAAAATTTCCCCAACTTGAGGAGAGAAAAGGTCTCATGGATCCAGGAGGCACAGAGGGCCCCACTCAAGAGAGGCCCAAGGATGTACACTCCCAGACACATCATCATTAAAATGGCAACTATCAAAGACAAAGAGAAAATCCTCAAGGCAGCAAGGGAGAAGGAGAAAGTAACATACAAGGGAGCCCCGATATGGCTAGCAGCTGACTTCTCAACAGAAACCTTACCAGCCAGAAGGGAATGGCAACAAATATTCCAAGTCATGAAAAGCAAGGGCCTACACCAAGGCTGCTCTACCCAGCAAGGCTCTCAATTAAAATAGAAGGGGAAATACGGAGTTTCCCAGACAAGAGAAGGCTAAAAGAATACATCTCTTTCAAACCAGCAGTCCAAAATATGCTAAGGGGACTGGTTTAAGCAGATGAAGGAAAAGAATGAGAGAGAGAGGAACACAGGTACAAAGAGAAAAGATGACTAAGTTTCTACCAGTAATATCTCTCAATGTGAATGGACTAAATGCTCCAATCAAAAGACACAGGGTAGTAGAATGGATAAGAAAACATGACCCACACATATGCTGCCTACAAGAGACCCACCTCAGAGCAAGACACCTACACAGATTGAAAGTAAAGGGATGGAAAAAAATATTCCAAGCAAATGGGCATGAGAAAAAGGCCGGGGTTGCCATACTTGTATCAGACAAAGTAGATTTCAAAACAAAGGCCATAAAGAGAGACCCAGAGGGGCACTTTATAATACTTAAAGGAAGAATCTATCAAGAAGACATCAACACTGTAAACTTATATGCTCCCAATATAGGAGCCCCCAAGTTCATAAGGAAATTGTTGGATGACTTCAAAAAAGATACAGACAGCAACACACTGATAGTAGGCGATTTCAACACCCCACTGTCAAAAATGGACAGACCTTCCAGACAAGACATTAATAAACATATCGTGGCGCTGAATGACACACTGAATCAGAGACTTAACTGACATATATAGAACCTTACATCCCAAAGAAGAAAAATACACATTCTTTTCAAATGCTCATGGCAGTTTTTCAAAGATAGACCACATGATAGGACAAAAAGCAAGCCCCAGCAAATTCAGGAAAACTGAAATAATACCAAACTTTTTCTCAGACCACAAGGCCTTGAAACTCAAAATCAACCTCAAAGAGAAACTTCAAAAACTTGCAAACTCATGGAGACTGAACAGTACACTATTAAACAATGAATGGGTCAATAATGAGATAAGAGAAGAAATCAAAGCATTTCTGGAAACAAATGAAAATGAACATACAACAGTCCAAAATTCATGGGACACAGCAAAGGCAGTCCTCAGAGGGAAGTTCATAGCAATACAGGCTTACCTAAAAAAGATAGAAACATTTCATACAAAAGACCTAACATTACAACTTCAAGAACTAAAGAAACAACATCAAATAAATCCCAGAGCAAAGAGAAGGAAGGAAATAGTCAAGATTAGAGCAGAACTGAATGACATAGAGATGAAAAGAACAATTCAAAGGATCAACCAATCCCGGAGCTGGTTCTTTGAAAAGATAAATAAAATTGACAAGCTTTTAAGCATACTCATCAAGAAAAAAAGGGAGGGGAACCAAATAAATAATATCAGAAATAACCAACTGACACCACAGAAATACACAGGGTTGTCAGAAACAACTATGTACAATTATATGCCAAGAAATTTGAAAATCTTGATGAAATGGACAAATTTCTAGAAAAGTATAATCTTCCAACACTGAAGGAGGAAGAAACAGAAAGCTTGAACAGACCAATAACAGCTGGGGAAATTGAAGCAGTAATCAAGAAACTCCCGGCACACAAAAGCCCAGGGCCAGATGGTTTCACAG